CTTACAGGGGTAACATTAGTATTTACCGCTCACTCTACACTGAAACACTTAATCGAGGAGTTGAGGGTGATATTATGATATATTTCCTTCTATAAACCATACACACTACTGATGTGATATTTTAATTAATATTTAAGTGTAATAGAGGAACTTAACGGACCCACAACAAGGGGGGAGGGTGTATGAATTTGAGGGCGTCACCAGTTTCATTTTAAATCAAAGCTCAAATAAATCTTTACAAAGTCATCATTCCAGTACAGGTGTGAGGGAAGGGGCGTCACCTTACCTGTTATTACACCTGGTATGTTGTTATTAATATATACAGTGTAGGTGTGTAGTGTCAGCGTCCTGGACAAAGGCACAAATTGAAGCTAAGATCGTAACACTTACTCCTGACAAATCAACTTACCAACTAAGTCAATATCGGTGATAATAAGTTTGTGCGGTCATATACAGGTATTGGACACGAGGCGAACAGGTATATAATATGATTCTTCGACGATTATTTAACACCTTGAGTACGATAACGACCCACAGAGTACCACAAAGATATGTTATCCCCTTGAGTACAATGACTAATTCCCTTGAGAATGATGACCAATTTCCGTGAGTACGATAACATTGTACTCAGGGGGTGAAATCATGGTAAAAGGAATTAACTCTTATCTTCTTTTCCAATCTCTTCCCCGCCTTATAACTCTCTCTCTCTCTCTCTCTCTCTCTCTCTCTCTCTCTCCTTGCATTCCTCCTTCTCACTCTCTTCCTCCGTCCTTCCCTTTCCCTCTCTCTATTCACCCCCTTGCATTCCTCCTTTCTCCCTGCCTCCTTCCCTCCCTCTTTGCCTCCCTCCCTCTCCTTGTATTCCTCCTTTCTCCCTGCCCCCTTCCCTCCCTCCCTCCCTGCCTCCTTCCCTCCCTGCCTCCCTCACTCTCCTTGCATTCCTCCTTTCTCACACTGACCTTCAGGTGGCTAGACTTTCAAATAACACCCTGGGGTCACTTAGGAAGTTCCTCGCATGCTTTCTGGTACGGGTGTGCAGTAACCCCTCCCGTACGCCCACCATGCCTCCTTCAACATGTAAACAAAGGGTCGAGTCCAGTTATCGTACGTGAGAGGGTGAAGTAACGTACCATAAGAGATGTGGTAAAGTTATCGTACCTAAAGTTGGTTATGTTAATGTACCTAAATGATTATTTAAGTCTTAAGGAAAGTTAAATGTTATAATCCATAAGGAATATTAATGTTTTAACTTACTAGAATTAAATCGTCGTTTTAAGAGGTTTAAATCCTCGTATTAAAGAGGTTTAATGTAAGACTTTAAACACTTATACTTAAAGAGATTAAATCAATGGTCATATTCTAAAACAATAATCTGAGTCACACCGAAGCGCTTCTCAAGTAACGCCTCTGGGCTCAAGTTGCTTCATCCGGTATTATGGAAGCGTCTGATGTATCCTGAATGGCTTCGAGCTGAGAATAGTTGATTAAGGTCCACCCAGGTGTCCGGATTCTTCAAGGTTTGTACCGTAAATCTTTCCTCAGTGTTGACTTTTTCAGTTACAGGTGGTTTAAATTACAGGTGGTTTAATTACAGGTGGTTTAATTACAGGTGGTTCAAATTACATGTGTTTTAGGGGTAAATAAACACCATCACTGTTATCAGGTTTCGAGGAAAATTTCACTGAAGTTTTTTTAAGAATCCGAGTTGGGTTTTGGGCTCAGTGTTGCCAAGGTTAGGTGGCAATAGTGTTGTCAGAGTCAATATTAACTTAAGACTGTTAAAACGCACCAGTGTTACCAATTGCAGATACTGGATCAACTGTTTCCAAATCACATTTTTTTTCTTTAAATGTCTCCAATATACTAATGTATATATGTACTTTTGTGTATAAATTTATCTATATAAACAATTGTGTATTTGTGTATATAATTGTATGTATTCATTGTACTGTACGTATATACTTCTACATCTATGTATACATGTACCCGACCTTCACTAAGTCCTATGTATACTTCCTATGTATTGTTATTCTCACAGTTCTGTAATGTTCCTAGACCATGTTAGAGGTGACGCAACCGCCCCTCTTGTCTATGTAAATTACCCAGAGCATAGTGTATGTATCCCACCCACACACACACCCACACACACACACACACACACACACATCTCGCACTCACTTCCTCATCACTCTAGGTTACTTGTGTGTTGCCTTCCGTCCTCGTAGAGTGGGATAATGACAGGTAAGTGATGCAGGTAAGTGATGCAGGTAAGTGACACAGGTAAGTGACACATCTCCGACCTTGCGGCACCTCCAGGTACTGGGGGAAGGACATGTCAACAAAACAGTGGAGAATTCTTAACTATTTTTTTTTATTTAACTGTTGGAAAAGGTAAGCTATTTAACTGTTGGGTGAGACAGGCCTTTTAACTGTTACGCTAGACGAACCTTACAATTCCTTCAGAACTCCACCAACATGTTACAAAAAATAATTAACCTAACCAGACCAAACCAATTGAGTACAAAATGGCTGAACTCCTTGAAGACTATGACATTGTTCTCCAGGTGTGGAATTGTCATCATTAAACGAGTTACCTGGTAGTCGCCGTGTTAACAGGTGCCACAAACACATCTAATTAGACTTGATTATGTGAATTATCTCAAGTAGTTTTGGTTGGTCTCAGGGGATTAACGAGGTCGTGTGGGAGCTCGTTAACACACTCTCACACACTTAACTACCGTAACTACTTCACTAACTACCATGAGCACTCTAAATTACTTATACCTTCACCTTCTTTGGTAACTTCAGTTATTCATTTGTTTCCTTCTAGAAATATAGATACTGAGAAATAGATCTTCCTCCCCTAAACACTTCATCACTGCTTGGCTGAATTTGGAACACTTCTTCAGCAACACTTCAGCAACACCTCAGTACACTTCTCCTCCTCTGTGTTTGTTGTAAGTAAGTGTGTTTTAACAGTTCCCAACCTGGTGGCGTTTGTTTACAAGATGTCTGTATTTCGCTGTGACTGTATCATTACCTGTCGACTGTATTAAACTGTACCTGGTAGATTAAACCCTCAATAGGTAATTTCATAAAACATAAACCATAATAAAACAGGAAATTAAACCACAGATGAGAAATGATTCGATAAAATAAACCCGTTTCATTGATGTAATAAATCATGTCATCTCTATTGACACTCGCCTTGAACGCATCCGCTCCAACAATTAAAAATGAACGCGGAGCCAATAAGACCTTGATCAACGCCCCCTCTCATGTCACTCTCAACGCCCCCTCTCACACCACACTCAACGCCCCCTCTCTCAACGCCCCCTCTCACACCACACTCAACGCCCCCTCTCACTCACCACACTCAACGCCCACTCCCCCTCCACACTCAACGCCACCCCTCACACCACACTCAACACCACCCCTCACACCACACTCAACGCCCCCTCTCACTCCACACTCAACGCCCACTCACACCTCCATTCGTGTTTGATAAATCACTGTGAAGTATAAAAGACATTAATTAAAAACTTTATTGTCTTTCTCACTTGTTATACGAGACACCAGTGGTAGAGTCATGTTCCTCCCGACCTTCAGTACAGTGTGGTGTGTCATTATGGGGAAGTTATATTGATTAGGAATTGCATTTTTACCCCACCTAACCTAACCTAATGCTAACCTAACTTAACCAAACCTAACCTAGCCTAACCTAAAATAACTTAAGGTGAAGAAGCTTGGGTGGTTTATCATCACGTTTTCCCCTTTGTCTGGTTGTTAGTCAGACAGTGTTCGCTCCCGGACCTATAGCGAACTCTACTCTGTCTCCAGGTGTTTGTTATGGTCGTATCCCACAAGTTGTTCCTCTTGGCAGCTTGATATGACTTATAATGGCTTAGTTTGGCTTGACATGTTTATAAAACTCTCCTGAATACTGTCGACAAGGAAAAAGATCCTGGCGTTGTGATGGATCATTCCCTGAAGGCGGAGCAACAATAAAGGGGCAGTAGTGAGGAAAACAAACACAGATTTGAATACAAAGATATAGGAAAACGCCCCTTCAACTGTACAAATCTCGCGTACGTCCCAGTCTGGTCACCTTACCTGCAGAAAGACCTAACATCCCTAGAAATGTTCAACACAGAGCGACTAAGATGCTTCCTGAACTACTGTATATCATCTCAATTATCCAAGTAGACTGAAGGCCTTATAGGACTAACAACCCTTCAGACAAAACACAATAGGACAGATCTTATTGAAACTTCTACACTTTGAAAGTGATGGAAAACGTGAACCCGAGACATTTCTTTGTGATGTCACGCACCACCAACACGAGGGGACAACTACAAGCTCTCCACGTTATCATACTGAAGGAACATACGGGAACACTTCTTCACACAGAGGGAGGTAGGCCTATAGAACGGTCCACCAGCCCAATCAAGAACAGTTCTGAGCTTCACAATGGCCCTTGACTAAATTATCAAGAACAATGGAGGGATCCTACACAGGCCGCCGCCCTCCTTCCCCCGGCATGGCCACCTATAGTGGGTGGCCATCTGGGCCATTTGGTAAATAAGGTAAAAATAAAGTTTTACCTCCACCTCTCTCACCTTACCTCTATTACCTCTCACTATCTCTCCTCTATCATCGTCTCACCTCCACCTCTCTCACCTTACCTCTATTACCTCTCACTATCTCTCCTCTATCATCGTCTCTCCTCCACCTCTCTCACCTTACCTCTATTACCTCTCACTATCTCTCCTCTATCATCGTCTCTCCTCCACATCTCTCACCTTATCTCTATTACCTCTCACTATCTCTCCTCTATCATCGTCTCTCCTCCACATCTCTCACCTTACCTCATCTCTCAGTAACACCTGGAAGCGATTTGTTGACATTGTGGACAAAAACAAAAGAACATCAATAATTATGTTTATTTTTCTTTGTACATTAACTTATAACTAAGAGATAAGGTCAGATAATATATAGTGTAAGAGTATTTTTCTTTATTAACGTTATAAAGTACAGTTTTTACAGTGGTGATTGAGGAAGATCTTGGAAGAATAAAAGAATTTGATTCGTTTTCTTCTTCCAAGCCATCCACATGCAGCGCCATTGGCTTACATCGGTATTGGACGGAGATATGATTGGTCAGGCCCCTCTTGCTGGAAATCATGACGTCATGGGATGCTGGCTAGAAGAGTGCCGCTATTGGCAAGAGAATTTTGGTGTGGGGGGGGGGGGAGGAAATCGTGACGTCAGAATTCTCAGTTACCCATGCATGTTTTTTCTATGGTGAGAGAATGATACAATAGTGTATTTTGAAGTAATGAGTGATGATGAACACAAGATTGTAGAGTAAAGATACTTCACTCTAATCCCTCACAGCACCCAGAAATAATCTCAGAACCTGACTCAAAAATTTCCACATCATAGAAACTTTTGAGATAAATGACGGCGGCGGAGATGACGTCGTCCGAATGCGTTGTGATGACCCGAACTACACCTTACTTAACGGGTTCGTAGGTGACTTCGGCTTGGTACCCATTAATAGGATCGACACGGAAACGGACGATCTGCATGCGGTTGTCTGGTAGAAGAACAGAGTATTCGCCAGTGACGTCCTTACCGTCACTGTCCTCTACGTGGTTGAAGATATTGCCACTTTCGGGATCGGACACTCCCCACTTGATGTTGTAGGGCATCGGCATCATGGTGGTGGTGGGGCCGCTGGGCTGGGAGGGGGGGGGAGGAGGGGGAGTCAGTTATAAACACAAGATAAATAAAAATACAGATAAAACCCAGATAACAGATGTAACAGAAGACTAATAGATTGTTTTCATTTATTTATTTTAGTCTTTATCTATCTATCTATCTATCTATCTATTCCCCAGAACTAACTCTAACCTAACTCTATCCTGTCTCTGTCATCATTCCATTTACTTGAGATCATCAATAGGTCACAGCGATCAAACCCAACTATTGTGTTGGGGTCCATTAGAACTGGGGTCAATAATAACCTTGGGTCTATTAGAACTGGGATCTATAATAACTAGGGCCTATTAGAACTGGGGTCTATAATAACTGGAGTCTAGTAGAACTGGGGTCTATTATAACTAGGGCCTATTAGAACTGGGGTCTATTATAACTAGGGCCTATTAGAACCAGGGCCCATTAGAAGAAAACAAACCTCGCATCAACTCACCACTATCACATCAATAATCACGTTCTCTGAGGGTTGTTCGTCTGCAGGTGGTGGGAGGTAAGCTGAAGGTGGTGGTGGGGGAGGAGTGGTGGTAGTAGTGGTGGTAGTAGTGGTGGTAGGAGGGGGCGTGACCTCTACTTTCTCTGAGTTTTGGGCGGGAAGCTCGTAGAGTCCAGAGGGTTGGGCAGGAGGGTCGTAGTTGTAGCCTACCACAGGAGCCTGAGCTGAGGCTATGGCGATGAGAGGGTCGTGGTGGTGGTGGTGGTGATCCAGACCGTCTAACTTAGCGGGGGCAGCCAACGCACTGCCCACCAACACTGATGTTATGAATGCCAGTACCTGTAAGTGGGGGGGAGGAGGAGGTTACAGGGCGTGTAAGGGAGAAGCATAGAGAGAGAGAGAGAGAGAGAGAGAGAGAGAGAGAGAGAGAGAGAGAGAAAACGTGAGGGAGAAAGAGACAAACAGACAGGAAAAGACAGAAACAGACATAAACAGACAGATATTCTAAACACACACCACCAAATTTACCTCCCAACAGATAACCATTTAGACCCTAACATTCCTTCCTAGACACAAGTTTCTTCCTCAGTCTTAAATTCTCTGTAATAACTGAAACATGATCCCACACACCTGGACACACTAACCAAGATGTATGTGTGTGTGTGTGTGTGTGTGTGTGTGTGTGTGTGTGTGTGCGTGTGTGTGTGTGTGTGTGTGATCCCTATATAATTATCTTCATATATAAAGACACCCAAAGGTACCTGCCCTGTACCTTCTCCTCTTCTCCTCATCTGCTTAGCCTCCAACCCACCCCAGCCCACCATAACCCAAATTCTATTCACCCTAACCCACTAACCCACCTAAACCTATCTGCTTACCCAAACGTCCACCACACTCCACCATCCACCCCCCCTTACATAATACTAACCCACCATCCACTACCCAACCCACCCTAGCCCACCCCGGATCCACCTCACATTATAGAATAGAAAGGCACATCAAGGACAAGGTAAGGATAGGATTTCCCTGGGTAGTGCTGGAGGCTGTAGGATACCTGAACCTATCCTACCTATCCTACCAGTCTGTATAACTAAAAATGTGACGCATCCTTTCCCCTAGGGTGTGACGCAGGAGGATTAGGGGAAGGATTTACCGAGTGAGGAATCCTATTTGTGAATCCTTAACATCCTTAAAGTTTATTCTTATATCCTAAACGTATCCATTACCCTGATATAGGACGCTGGAGGATTGAAGGAAGGATACAGCTGGTAAAGAATCCTACATACACATTCCAAAAACTCTCACTGCTCACACCTCACCCTCACCTTCATCCTCACACTTCATCCTCACACTTCACCCTCACACCTCCCCTCCACCTCACCTCCACTTCATCACACTCCTCCTCTACGCCTCCCCACCCCATTTCTCCTCCACTTCACCCTCACCCTCCCCTCACCCTCCCTCACACCTCACCCTCACACTTCATCCTCACACTTCACCCTCACACCTCCCCCTCACACTTCACCCCTCACGCTCCACCCTCCTCACGTGTCACCCTCACCAGACGACCTTCAGTTAGGTAAGGAACACCTGTAATACATTGTCAACACTGCAGTCCCTTCCTTCCCCTCCCCACCCCTAACCCTAACCCCTCCCCTTCCCTCCCCTAACCCTCCCCCTTCCCTCCCCAACCCTCCCCTACCCTCCCTCCTCCTCCCCCTCCTGTATTCCCAGATGAAGGAAAAGCGATATTATTCCTCTTAAGAAATTGTCATATGAGTATTGTTCAGTTTATGTCCACCTCTCTCTCTCGTTTCGTGGGTTAATCTAGGTATTCCAATTCATTTCTTCCTCCTTCTCCCTCTCGCCCTTCTCCCCACACTCTCAGATTTTCCTCAACGCACTCTACTGCCTAACGCACCTACTGCTCCCACAATCACTCTTTTTTTTTCACTCTCAACTGTCCTTCCGTTGCACTCTCCCCCACTCCCCCCCACACACGCCTTGCTCTCGTTCTGTACCAACCTTCATCTCGTAGGCTCGTAGGGTCTGTCCTGTCCTGGCCTGTCCGTCCTGCTACACACTGCTCAACTGACCTGCTCCTTCTGCCGACACCACCGTTTATATAGCTCACTCCCCAGACCCCTCCTCCTCCTCCTCCTCCTCCTCCTCCTGCCTCCTAAGGTCGACCGCCCCTTCCACCCACCGAGCCACGATTTCAGGGTCAATCTTCCTAGCGGGATGAGACGTCATGGAGTATCTCAGACTAGCCCTTCTTCAGGTAGGTCTTGAGGGGCTGAGAAAAGACTTTAATTATTTTGTTTAAGTTATTTTAGTTGTAGTTTATGGGTTTATTTCTGAATACAATTAGTTTTTATAATGGGTGTTGCTGTACGATGTTATAACGACTATATATAAACAGATCTAGTCGTTGAGTCGTAAGGTCGTAGAGGTCGTTTTTCTTTATCAACCCTTTAGGAATCTTTCACCTAGAGGGTCGTCTATGGTATCAACCCTTCACACTAGACGACATAAGGATCAAATTAACCGATCCTTCCCTCCCCTTCATCACCTATAGAGACCGAGGCGTAGCAACACAACACACACCAACACCCACCCTCCAACACTCTGAGATAAGGACCAGATTCCTCCAGCACACACGTTTGGTAGCATCCCGACCTTCAACCAACCGAGTCAACCGAGCTCTTTCAACATGGTTAGTCTCTTCCCGTCACAATACACTCCAGTAATTACCCCCTAAGAGTCATTAACTGAAGTGATTAGCGATAATGAGTAATAAAGTCAAGTCTTGTGAACATGGTAGGAGACATGATCAATTCATCACACGGCTAGCCATATGGTCCCCCTCCTCCTCCCTCCCTCTCCCTCCCTCCTTCCCTCCCTCCTCCCTCTCACACGAAAGAATGTGATCTTATGTACGGCTAACAAACGCTCAGACAGTGATTATTTTCCCTTTGGTCTTACATCAACCATCGGTAATTAGTGGTAGGGGGAAGGAAGGAAGGCTTTAGGTTCCTTTAGTCTGTATTTGAGAGTATAAAAAAAACCTCTAGTTTATTTCACCTGAAGATTAGTAGTAGTAGTAGTAGTAGTAGTAGTAGTAGTAGTAGTAGTAGTAGTAGTAATAGTACAGTGGTAGTAACTAGTAGTAGTAGTAGTCACTGAATGCCGCTTAGATCTGCGGCTCAACTAACCCAGCACAGCAAGGATAGCTACTTATGTATTATTATATTATTTATTGAGGTAAAAAAATGGCGACGAAGGTGTGGCTATTGGGGAGGCTGGAGGCCATTAAAAGTAGTAGTAGTAGTAGTAGTAGTAGTAGTAGTAGTAGTAGTAGTATTCCCTCTCCCTCTACCTCCCTGCCTCTTCCTTCCCTTCCTCCTCTCCCCTCCCTTCCACCGCTGTCTCCCTCTCCCTTCCTCCTCCCACCTTCAACCCCACCCTCTCCTTCCTCCCTTCCCCCCCTCCCTTCTTCGCATATATAATAAAGACAGACGTAAATAACTATCATCATTTCCTGTCACCTAACCTTCAACACCACTGCCGAGAAAATTCCCATGAGGTGAACGTAATAGTGTGACCCTCCCTTTACCCTCCCTTTACCCTCCCTTTACCCTCCCTTCCTCTCCCTTCCCTTCTTCTCCGTCTCCTCCATTTCTTCCTTCTTTTAGAGACTTTTTACATATAAATAGAGTGAGAGAAAGAGAGAGAGAGACAGACGGACACTGACAGAAAAATATACAGACAGACAGACAGACAGACCATACACAGGTGAACACAGGTGACAGGGGCGTGGCTGTCTGGGTTCTACTGTTATGGTGTGGTTCTGACACACACACACACACACACACACACACACCTAGTGCCTCTCGGTGCAGTCATCCATCACCCGCCACCACTAACATCGCCAGCACGACCAACACCGTAATCATGGGATTTAACCTGCCTCGTCTAACACCTGTGTCTCTCTGTGTGTCTGTGTGTGTGTCTGTCTGTGTGTCTCTCTCTGTGTGTCTGTGTGTGTGTGTGTGTCTGTGTGTGTCTGTCTGTGTGTCTGTGTGTGTGTCTGTGTGTGTGTGTGTGTGTGTGTGTGTCTGTGTGTGTGTGTGTGTGTGTGTCTGTGTGTGTGTCTGTCTGTGTGTCTGTGTCTGTGTGTGTGTGTGTCTGTGTGTGTGTCTGTGGCTGTGTCTGTGTCTGTCTGTGTGTCTGTGTGTGTCTGTGTGTGTGTGTGTGTGTGTGTGTGTGTCTGTGTGTGTGTGTCTGTCTGTGTGTCTGTGTGTGTGTGTGTCTGTGTGTGTGTGTGTCTGTGTGTGTGTCTGTCTGTGTGTCTGTATGTGTGTCTGTGTGTCTGTCTGTGTGCGTTTGTCTGTGTGTCTGTGTGTGTGTCTGTGTGTGTGTGTGTGTGTGTGTTCTGTGTGTGTGTCTGTCTGTGTGTCTGTGTGTCTGCTTGTGTGTGTGTGTTGTGTGTCTGTCTGTCTTGTGTGTCTGTATGTGTTTGTGTGTCTGTCTGTGTGCGTCTGTCTGTGTGTCTGTGTGTGTCTGTGTGTGTGTGTGTGTGTGTCTGTGTGTGTGTGTGTCTGTCTGTGTGTCTGTGTGTCTGTCTGTGTGTGTGTGTGTGTGTCTGTGTGTGTGTCTGTCTGTGTGTCTGTATGTGTCTGTGTGTCTGTCTGTAGTGTTCTGTCAGTGTGTCTGAACGTAATGGTCTTGTCACGTTCAGTAGGAGAAAAAATTACAATCTTATCTATTTCGTAATTCTGGTTTACTGTATAGAAGAGAGAAAAGAGAGAGGAGACCAGAAAAGAAGAAAGAGAGAGAGAGAGAGATAATAAGTAGAGAGAGGGAGATAAAGATGGCTGAACAGATAGATAAAGAGAGAGAGATGCAAAGAACGGGAGACAAAATGGAGTAAAGGACAAAAACAGACAGACAGACAGACAGACAGACAGACAGACAGACAGACAGACAGACAGTGAATCAAAATGCAACAGCTTCTTAATAATAATAAATTAATTACGTTTCCTCACCTTCGTCACCACACAGTGTTACCAGAAGCTACACCCCACCACACAGTGTTACCAGAAGCTACACCCCACCAGGCAGTGTTGCAGAAGCTACACCCACCACACAGTGTTACCAGAAGCTACACCCCACCACACAGTGTTACCAGAGCTACACCACACAGTGTTACCAGGCTACACCCACCACACAGTGTTGCAGAAGCTACACCCCACACCACAGTGTTACCAGGCTACCCACCACACAGTGTTGCAAGCTACCCCCACCACACAGTGTTACCAGAAGCTACACCCACCAGGCAGTGTTACCAAGCTACACCCACACCGCAGTTTAGAAGCTACACCCACCACACAGTGTTGCAAAGCTACACCCCACCACACAGTGTTACCAGGCTCCCCACCACGTGTTACCAGGCTACACACACCACAGTGTTGCCAAACTTCCACCCACACAGTGTTCCAAAGCTACACCCCACCAGGCAGTGTTGCCAGAGCTACACCACAGTGCCAGAGCCACCACAGTGTGAAGCTACCCCACCACAGTGTTACAAGCTACACACACGCAGTGTTACCCAAGCTACACCCCACCAGGCAGTGTTCCAAAGCTACACCCACCACACAGTGTTACCAGAAGCTACACCCCACCCACAGTGGCTACACCCACCACAGTCTTGCAGAATACACACCACACAGTGTTACCAGCTACACCCCACCACACAGTGTTTAGAAACTCCCCACCACAGTGTTGCAAAGCTACACCCCACCACACAGTGTTACAAGCTCCCCACCACACAGTGTTACCAGAAGCTACACCCACCACACAGTGTTACCAGAAGCTACACCCCACCACACAGTGTTACCAGAAGCTACACCCCACCACACAGTGTTACCAGAAGCTACACCCCACCACAGTGTTGCCAGGCTACACACGCAGTGTTACCAGCTACACCCCACCACACAGTGTACCAAGCTACACCCCACCACACAGTGTTACCAGAAGCTACACCCCACCACACAGTGTTGCAAGCTACACCCCACCACACAGTGTTACCAAGCTCCCCACCAGGCAGTGTTACCAGAAGCTACCCCACCCACAGTGTTACCAGAAGCTACACCCCACCACAGTGTTACAAGCCACACCACAGTGTTGCCAGAATACCCACCACACAGTGTACCAGAAGCCACCCCACCACGCAGTGTTGACTCACCCCACCACAGTGTCCAAGCTACACCCCACCACACAGTGTTACCGACTACACCCCACACACAGTGTTACCAGAAGCTACACCCACCACACAGTGTTACAGAAGCTACACCCACCACAGTGTTGCAAGCTACACCACCACACAGTGTTACCGAAGCTACACCCCACCACACAGTGTTACCAAGCTACACCCACCACGCAGTGTTACCAGAAGCTACACCCACCACACAGTGTTGCAAGCTACACACCACAGTGTTCAAGCTACACCCCACCAAGGTGTTGCAAGCTACACACACAGTGTACTACACCACAAGCTACACCCCACCACACAGTGTTACCATACACCACACAGTTTGAAGCTACACCACACAGTGTTACCAGGCTCCACACAGTGTTACCAGGCTACCCCCACCACAGTGCCGGCTACCCCACCACACAGTGTTACAAGCTACACCCACCACACAGTGTTACAGGCTACCCCCCAGTGTTCAAGCTACACCCCACCACACAGTGTTACCGAAGCTACACCCCACCACACAGTGTTACCAACTACACCCCACCAGGCAGTGTTACCAGACTACACCCCACCACAGTGTTACCAGAAGCTACACACACACAGTGTTACCAGAAGCTACACCCCACCACAGTGTTACCAGAAGCTACACCCACCACACAGTGTTACAAGCTACACACCAGGCAGTGTTACAGAAGCTACACCCACCAGGCAGTGTTGCCAGACTACACCCCACAGTGTTACCAGAAGCTACACCCCCACCACACAGTGTTACCGGCTACACCCACCACAGTGTTACCAGGCTACACCCACCACAGTGTTACCGACTACACCCCACCACACAGTGTGCCAGGCTACACCCACC